GCAGTAGGTCTCAATATAAACAAAGGGAAAAGCAAGACTCTCTGATACAATACAATATGCACCAATCCAATTACACTTGACGGAGAAGCTTTGGAGGATGTGGAAATCTTTACATATCTGGGCAGCATCATTGATGAACACGGTGGATCAGATGCAGATGTGAGGGCGCGGATCGGCAAAGCAAGAGCAGCATACCTACAGCTGAAAAACATCTGGAGCTTAAAACATTTGTCAACCAACACCAAGGTTAGAATTTTCAATACAAATGTCAAGACAGTTCTACTGTATGGGGCAGAGACGTGGAGAACTACGAAAGCCATTATCCAGAAGATACAAGTGTTTATTAACAGCTGTCTACGCAAGATACTTCGGATCCGATGGCCAGACACTATCAGCAACAAGTTACTGTGGGAGACAACAAACCAGATTCCAGCGGAGGAAGAAATCAGGAAGAAGCGCTGGAAGTGGATTGGGCACACTTTCAGGAAATCACCCAATTGTGTCACAAGACAAGCCCTCACATGGAATCCTGAAGGTCGAAGGAGAAGAGGAAGACCAAAGAACACATTACGCCGAGAAATAGAGACAGACATGAGAAGAATGAACAAGAACTGGATAGAACTAGAAAAGAAGGCCCAGGACAGAGTGGGTTGGAGAATACTGGTCGGCGGCCTATGCTCCATTGGGAGTAACAGGCGGAAGTAAGTAAGTAAGTTCTACTATGAAAAAAATACTAAATCTCCACAAAACCCCTTTTGATAATCGATATACATTTATAAGCGTAATTGTTTTTGTGGGGTAGGTTTTATTGGTTACATAAGATGAAAGATTATTGAATTCATCTGAGAATATTATTTAATTTCCTTTTTAAAAGATAACGAAGAATAATTAGTGGTTCAAAATGAGAATATGTACGCGATTTTTAGTCACATTACTCCCACTAAAGTCATTTTTTCAAAGTGATTTACACAGTTAAACGAGTTGAATCAGTGAGAGCATGAGTTGGAAATCTGTGCACAGTGATTTTGCCCCTTAATGCCCTGGTACGACCGAGAGTGGGAAGGGCCCGCCCTTTCTCTCTAGAAATGCTCTCACATGGTAACGCGTATATAGCCTCTGTCAGGGAAGTCCTACTCACTGCCTTCTCACATCACGGGTGTTGTTTACAAAATCGAGAGAACGAAAAGTGAATTTCTGGCGCTTTAATCGGGTTGGTGGACACGGAAAGTCCAACTAGGTGAGTTGGAAAACTCTGATTCCAAACCAATGGTGCACATGAGCTCCAGTATCCTGAGGGAACAAATGGCGTATGAACCAATAGTCGGTCACAGGCTAACATGAAACTGCAACTCTTTACGATGATCCACTGCCTTGTGGATCAGACCTTTAGGTCAAAGGCTGCGGGTATGGCCCCTTAAGAAAACCACCTGCTTCGATCTGGGCACCCGGGCATTTGTGTGGCGCATATATATCTGGTGCCCTCTTGTACCAATACATGTTCAAAAATAAATAAATATTTTGATATTTACTATATTATGTTTCAAGCAGAATAATGCCTATCATCTCACAATAGCGTTAGAATTCAATTGCTATCTTTATTTTTACGGTTAACTTTCACACTACTCATTAGAAGCTGAATGGTGATTAGATAATATTCATTTTCATTCGGTGTTTTCAAAAAGTGTTACTCTCATGAAACTTTATAGGTCGATGAACCCTCGATCCCATTTACTTTCTAATTCAAATAACTTCAGGCTAAATCTACATAGCAAGTTGAACACAAGAGAAATGGTGTAAAGGGCAAAAGAACGCTTTTCTACAAGATTAAGGTATGTACAGAAAGGAGAAGGAGAGCGTGCTAACTCTTTTTTATAAGGCATGACTCAATATTTATCGTGAGACAGAAAAGTAAGCTAAAAATATATGGACAATAGAGTAAGCGATACAGACATATGCGCTCAAATAGGAACGGTAAAGGTTATAAGCAAATAACTGACAAGGTCAAAATATATCTGGATAATGGATCAAGAAGAATAAATTAATCGTTCTGTCCAAAAGCCAGGATAATTCACTTAAGCATGACATAGTACTGAAGGCTATAATGTAATCTTTAAACAGATAGAAAATAGGTATCCTAGAGGTTGCAGCAAGTCATCTAAAAATTGGTAGCATTACAGTCTTAACAAAATACTGTTTGGAAGGAACAAGCTGGAAGAAAACTCCTGTAATACATAAATTATGAGAACATTTGATATTCGTTATGATACAGGGTCTTCATCTTTGTTACTGATACAAAAACGTCCTATATGCAATCCCTCAACAGGCTACTGAGTGAGAACACTAAGTATACAGAAAGAAGTTTAATTCGCCTAAACTGAATCAAATACTTAATCGCACATTTATATACACATAACCACTCCTTAGAAAATGGAACTGTTTCTTGACCTATGACATACGCTTGTCATCAGATTATGACTGACACCACATGATGATGACTGTTGTCGTTCTCCAATTTTCGGCACCGTACAATAAGACTGTCTTCGCATGCGCATTGAAAATTTTGAATTTGGTGTTAGCTGACGATTGTTCCAAGTTCCAGATGTTTTTTTAATTGCAAGAATACTGTCGTGGATTTGCAAATACGAGACTTCACACGTGGATGATGCTGCCCAAGTACGTGAAAGATTCCACATTTTCCAGAGTTTCTCCATCACGTGTGATTGGGTTGGTGTTTTCTATTTGAGGACCACGCTTTTTGCTTGTGTTGGGGATGTTATATCCCCAAAACTCACTTGGTAATTTTGTTTTGAAAATTTGAATTCCTGTTTTCGCGCCAAAAGCGCTCTTTTCACTTTCATGTAATATTTCCCACTTGGGAAAATCTTAAACGCTATCGGTCGGCTGTATTTTTTAGTATGCTATTTTGTAACGCTTCCAAGGACAATTTTATCCTGTATACATACGTTTGATTTCTTACTGTTGCGACTGCTTTTGCTTCTGGCTGCTTACGGAATATATTTTCCCCACTTCCATCATGGACTTCTCTCTCTAGTTAACGGGACCGTGGACAAGGGATTAAGATAGCCTATCGTGTCACTGTGTCTATGACCTTCGTTCCGTTTACCTTGTAAGGTGAATAACATCAAGCATATCACGTTTGTGTATGTTGAGACTGCTGCTACACTGGTCGTCTTTTGCATTTGTTGTTGTGTATGGCATAGAAGAGCTAGGTCATCTGCGAAGTACAAACTGTCTACTTGCATCCAAGTTGTCCATTGTATTCCATGCTTCCCCTCAGATTTCGAGGTCTTCATAATCCAGCCAACCGCCAGAACAAAGAGAAAGGGTGAGAGTAGGTAGCCTTATCTGACACCGGTCTTCAATTGGAATGCAGCTGTCCTCTATGCACGATTTCGCAATCTAATCAGTTGTATGAGCTCCGGATAATGTTGACAATCTTCTCAGGAACTCGATGGTGTCGAAGAAGTTTCCCTAAGGTCCTCCTGTCAACACTGCTAAACGCCTTCTTATAGTCCATGAAGTTGATGTATAGTGCCGAATTGCAGTTAACAGATTGCGTAGCAATGACACGTAGTATCACAAATTGGTATGTTCATGACCGATCTTTTCGGAACCTGGACTGTTTATCTCAAAGCTAGGCGTCCACCGTGACCTTCCTATTGTTCAACAACACGCCGTTGGAAACGTTTTCTGGTACTAGTAGTAGTATGATGCCTCTGAGATTCTCAAACTCGCTTAGATTTCATTTTTAGTATATTGATGAGGTGTCTTTCTTTCCAGTCTGTCGGCACTTCTATTTTCTCCCAGATCGTCCTGAATAGAGTAAGGAGCATTTCTGCAGTTATTCTATGTCTGACTTCAGTGCTTCTGCTGGTTTATTGTCAGGTGCTGCTGCTTTTCCACTGTTGATTTGTTTGATTTTCATGCTGAATTCTTCGATCGTTGGTGGAGTGACATCTATAGGAAGGTCTGTGTGTGCTAGTTTGATGTCCGGTGGGATCAGTGTAGCTGGCTTATCCAAGAGTACTTCAAGGTGCTCTACCGACCTGCCTCTCTGTTCTTGAATCTGTGGTCGTCTTGCTTTGTTTATCCTTGACCGGTCTCTCTGGCTTACCATATTTCCCTGCTAGTTTCTTCTATGTCATATAGCTGTCTCATATATTTCCTTCTCTCGCACCTTTTTCCGCTGTCGTTTAGTACGAATTTCTACATGTTGGCTCTAAGGATCTTCACTTTCTTGTTTGTTTCTGTGTTTTCGGCCTGTGCCATAGCCTTCCTTACTCTTGTTCGAATGTTGTTAATTGCTGTCTTCTTGTTCTTCCTTTCTTGAAGCTTCCCCAGGGTACCAATAGATATTTATTCTTTATGATGCTGCTTCTTGCGGTCCATAACTTCCCGACACGTTGAAGCTAGTGCTTCTTTCATATTTTTTTCAGCTGTTCTCTATAGTGATATAGACTTCTTTGAGTAGATCTCGTAAGGCTTGGAACCACTTGTTAAGAGTCATCTTGAATTCGTTGACAGTATCTCGAAGATATTTTGTATTAAACATTTGCATTTCCCCAGTTTTCCAGTGTTTATTTAGCTTCACTTTCATCTTAGCAACCACCAGGTGGAGATCTGTAGCCATGTCAACTATTCTTTTCATTCTCACATGTTTCATGGGTATTCTGAATAAGTATTAATACATAGTAAGCTTTACATCACGGATTATTCTTAGATAACTATTCAAAACTAGGAAACATTCGACATCTATTTTATTGTAACATGGAACACCCTCGATGTGGGGATGCCCGACCCCACTAGAGACTGAACCGATTAACTTTAGATCTAGGAGCAAAAGCTTCAAAGATAGGCATCTAATAGCTTAGATATCTAGCATTAGACAGTTTGCGAAGCTGTGCAGCCATCTTCCAATATCAATGATAAGCATCTGTCTCAGTTTCAAACTGATTTAAACAAAAAACAACACTACAAGATTTCTCCAGATTTAACTTTTATTTACATCGAAGTAAACATTTTGTAGAATACAGGTATCATTGACAGTCTTGATAACATTATTATCAAGAATAAAGTTTATTTTTTCACACAGCATAAATGAATCAACCTTGTAAATGTGTCCATAATAGTCATTACAAAAATTATCCACCATAATAAACAACGTGGAAGAAAGAACAGAACATCATCATTAGCACTTTTAGTAGAAGTAATTCAGTTTCATTCGTTAATTGAATTCAACAAACGTATAAATAAATAATAGGAATAAAATTTCAATTTCTTTAATTATCTACTTGTTTCAAACAACAACTTCCATGAATGAACATTGGTCACATCCAACGCATAACAGTTGGACAATTTCTATTGATTTATGAAGCATGTCATTAACATTTGAATTATCATTTTGAGTAAATGATTGACAATTAATAGTATTCTGATCAATAAGCCAGGCATGTAACGATGTATTGGGACAACCGGATGTTTGATGTTTTGTTTCTGCATCAATTAAACTACTTTTTATGGTAGTAAGATTGAGACTGTCTGTCTGGAATAGGAAAAAAAACGAAAGAAATTGTAGGAGAAAAGAAACGTTTCATATATTCAATTAATGACATTTCGTTAGTTTAAATCATGAAGTGATTTTAGCTAAGATGAAACGACCGACCAGTGCTTTTTAAGTTTTCAATGATAATCTATCTGTTAGATCTATCGAAGTGCGCAAGTCACCCGATTGAGATACGCGCAAAATCGAAGTTCATAAAAAAACGATTTGTTTAAAATAGCGGTTTTTTATTAAATAATATAAAAAAATTTAGTTACAAACCTCAACTTGTGAAGTGTCTACAGCGTTTAACGCTTCCTTCTGTATTAAATAAAAAGGGCTTCCTGTAACAGTGACATAAAGAGTAATTACAACATGCTATAGTGCAAAAGACAGCTGGTAACTGTGTCTAAACTTGGTAACAGTTTATCAGCAAGCAAAACCGAACCAAGAGCAAACAATGTGGAAACCGTTGCGTTTAAACAAAGGTTAACCAAATGCCCGAAATTGTGGATAACTGCTACAATGATTGAGGTTAGGTAATTATAATGATAAATACAATAAATGTTATAAGAATATGTAAATATTTCAGGACGTTACACAACAAACTTGCGTTACAACACGAGCGTAGAAATTTCTAAGAATACAACAATCTACTGAATATTGATAAGTAGTGTATAAAGCAATATGCAAGAGTCGAAGTGAATAAGGATGGAGAATGTAAAACAGGCTTAACATTGGCTAAGATTAATTAGTGATACAAACTATGAAAATTTTACAATCGTTACAAATTCCTTACATACTAATCATGAGTGGGTGTTTACTAGCTATTCATACCCACGTATTCCCATCTTATGATGGTTCCTTTTTTCAGTATGAGATTGTTGAGTTTTGATTGATATCACGAATGGATCAATGTTAAACCATCATTGAAAACCTGAAAGCACTGGACGGCCGTTACACCCTGATGTGGGACTCTTCAGCAGTATGCATCAACGACCGCATACCCGGGACTTGCGCCAATGACCTTCGGTCTCGCGCACGAATGCTTGACCATCTAGACCACTGAGCCGACATCCAACAGTGTTGATGCCTAACTTCAATCAATCCACGATATTGTGTTACCGTTCTCCATTGTCTTCAGTGAAAAACCGCCTCATATCAGACACGGTTGTACTCCATTGGTCACAGCTTTACACTAGAACTCCACGAAATCCATCTTGTAGCTAGTCACTAGCGTGTACATCATAATTATCAGTATAAGGCTGTGGAGATTGTTGAGTTTTGTATATCACGTATACTACTGACTAGAATTCAGTAACTTGTAACATTTTAATTATTTTTCAAATAATAACTGAGATAACCTGTTCGTAGTTTGATAGTTCATAGCACGTATAACCTTTGATCAATTCACTATTGTAATTATATTCTCTAAACATTTCAAATTATTTACGCTCATTTCTCATGTACTCACTGGCATTTATTAATTTGTAGCAGTTCTCATAATTTATGAGCTTAGTTCTCGTGTCATTTTGTTGGCTGTCCCGGTGAATTAACGCAGCTACTGGATGTTACCTAGTTCACGGTAAACAATTCTCGAAAAACTACTGAATGAAATACTTTTTAAATCGTACCTTGATATTTTTTAACGCTTTAGGACTTGAGTTTTGAAAAATCCATTGCTGGTCCTGTATTTTGATTTCGATATTTCACGCGTTACGCAATCGTTTGGGTAAGAATCCTCGAGAAGGTTTAACACTGACAAAATACCCTAATCAGTAGTGAGGTTCAGAGAGCGCAATTCGTCTTTTTTAGACTCGTCAGCTGAGTATACCTAGGCCAGTGTTGATGTTAAGACTGGAACTTGAGTGTAGTACCAAATTTGAGTGCCATACACTAAGGGCCTTCTACAATTCCTCAGAAAAGTCTTTAAAAAGCAACAGACGTGGGGTGTGTGTAGAATATCGTACTGATAACTGTACTTTCGTGTGAAAACAGTAAAGACTTCATTTTAGGTAACTAGCATCTGGAGTGATTGTGTCTTTTCATAATGGGAGGAATGGGTCGGTACTTTAAAAATCTACTTCGTTCATCTCGCCTCACAAATTCTCTCTCAACGGTATGAAATTTAATATACGAAGCTTTTATTCATTTTATTTAAACACAAATATTGGTACAAAGGGGAACCAGATATATATGTGTCACACAAATCTCATTTGATTTATATGAGGGCTGTGATACTGCCCGAATGCCCAAACCGAAGCAGGTGATTTTCTTAGAGGGCCACACCCCCAGCCTTTAACTTAAAGGTCTGATCCATAAGGCACTGGGGCATCGTGAGGAGATGCAGTCCCATGGTAGCCGGTGACCAACGATTGATTCATACGCCATTTATTCCCTGAGGATACTGAAGCTCATGTGCACCATTGGTTTGGAATCAGGGTTTTCCAACTCCCCTAGGTGGACTCTCCATGTCCACCCGGTTAAATCGCCGGACATTTGCTTTCGTCCTCTCAATTTCGTAAACAACAATAATGCCACGAGAAGGCAGTGAATAAGACTTCCCTGACAGAGGCTGTATACGCGTGGCCATATGAGAGCAATTGGAGAGGGAGAGCGTACTCTGTCCACTCTTGGCTCTACCAGGGCATTTGGGGGCATATACGAAGCTGACATATCAGGAACTACTTGCACAAAGGACTTGTGTGACAAGCATCAAGACGTTGCACTTTAGCCTCTATAATCACTCTTCTAAGTTGTCAAAACCGATCCTAACAGTGTGAGGAATCATGATGCGACAATTATCTTCAAACCTTTTATAAAAAAAATAATATAGCATTTAATAATAAAAAAAGTATATAAACATATAACAGTGTACTCACTTGAGTATCTAGATTTAAACTGCATGAAGAACAAGTGAGAAATGTACTATTCAAAGATAAATAGCCACTAAAAACAGAAAAGAAGAATGATGGATTAGCAGTGATGTTCAAATTAAATTAGTAAGTCTAGAAAAGAATTAGGGGGTTACAATGCCGGACTGAAATTAAAGACTTTCAGATTATCTCACGTCGGTAATTTTTTCCAAATGAGTAGGTTGCATGTAGATGAAATAAAAACGCCATGTGATTTCTTTACATACTTAGTAACTCCAGTTATGATGAAGTCGTTCTTTAAGGGTTTCTATGTGTTTGTCCTAACTAATAATTTATGTACAAAGACGGTGTTTCACCGATCGTGATTTTTACTCCGGAAAAAGTCTGATAATCATACAGTTAGTTTAGATAAAAGTCAAACTAATGGATCTGTAAATAGTTTCGTATCCTAAAGAAATGGATACTAAAAATCTAGGAGTCATAATTAGCAACGACCTAAGGACTACGAAAAACTGTAAGTCTACCGTTGCCAAAGGCTTAAGGATCGTTGTGGACTACTCATAAGTCACTACGTAATTTAGGTTAAGAAATGTTTATGGTATTATATACGACGTTTGTAAGGTCACACTTGGAATATGGAATTAAAGCAGCAAGTTCTTGTTTCAAGTATGTAGTGGATATGGTCGGACGAGTTCGATGATTGCGAGAGACCAAAATGGTGAAAGGTTTCACTGAACTACCTTACGAAGATGGATTGCAGATTACAGGGTCATCAATAGCTGGCTAACTGTATACTGAACGATGAGTTGATATAATTGTGGCTTATCTTCTCCTTCCGTTTAGCACTGCTTCTCTGAGTGGACATTCTAATGAAGTTCAAAAACCCAAAGTTTCGTTTCTTGTATAGAGTAATGAGATAGAACACGTAATACCAACACCTTCAAAGGAAGATTTGATCTTTACAGTACTACAAATTGCGATGATTAGCATAAGTCACTTGACCCCCCATCCTTACTATTAAAGATTAAAGACTTACGCTAGCTTCAAAATAATAATAAGATAATATGTTTTCAACAACGCAATCTCTTGTCATTTACACGTTCATGAGGTACTGATATCTGAAAAGCTTTCAAAATATTCAGTATTGGAGATAACCAATAAATTAAATGCACTTTGCTGAAACCAGACAACCATCAAAAAGATTTAAACCAAATTTGTGTATTCAAAGACTAAGTTGTCAATCTTTAGAAAAATCCTAGTGAGCATAATGGTTTCCAACAGTTGGATATTCAAGATTATAATTCATGGCCAGTATATCAAAACGTCCTCTGGTTTTACATTACCAGTTAATTAGCTGTGTTTGTTTGAAGCTGGAATGAGGCATTTAAATTATTCCGTTGTTGATATTCAGGACTGGATTTTGATCAATCTTTGTTGGTATACACTTGCATCCGTTATCCGTCAACCTCGATGTAGCTAGTTCTTTCAAAAGTTTTATAGAATAGGTGGATAGTAGTAGCAGTGGAGTTTAGTATGAAAGTTTCTTCCTATTTAGAACTCATTGGTTAGATGGTCTAAGTAGGGGTTTATTGGCACAATTTCCACTTCGATCTATCCGGCATATAACGCAACGATCACCTAATATCATCAGACAACTTCATCACTCTCGATGTGCCTAGACTCCACAAGTCACCACTTATTACTAGAAGTCTAAGAAATCTCTTGAAGTCACATTATTTGAGTAGACTAATATGCTTTAGCGGAAAGGGATTAATATTTATGACGAATATAACCGGTAAATCACATTTATTGTCTATTAATGTTGTTAAATATGATTAGTCATTATCGTATGCATCCACCCAAGTTCATGTTAACTAACCAAACAGAGAGGAAAAACTGAATTCGAATAACATTCAATTTGCATATATTACAACTTACATTCGACATAAAGGACAAAGAACATGTTCACTGTTAGATTCATCGGGCGAATGAAATTGATTTGCACCATTATTATTACTATTTGTATCATTCCAAAATTCTGGATTGAAATATTCCTCAATTTCTAATAAGACAGTCATAAAAGGTAATGTATTCGATGCATAACATACAGTCAAACGAATAAGCATTTAACTCTAAAGTCAGGTTGTAATTTACTCATCAAGAATTAAGATATGTGTAACTGACGTATTTTTCAATGGTCAGCTGGAGGCCTAAATAGCTTAGTGGAAACATCTCAAACTGTGAAGCAGGGAGGCAGGAACACGAATCTCATAGGGAAGACATTAGTTCTCTGAAGACTGCAGGTACGAACTACTGACAAGTCGATCAGCAAAAAGCCTAGCTTCAAGGTTTCCCAGCAACTTACGACTAACACTTACTATTTCAGCATAGTACACACGATTTCGAGTCATGTAGACTAGTGGCCAGCACATTGTACTTTGACTGATAGAATTCGATCAGTATTAAAAAGAACTAGATAAAAATACATAACATTGATCACTTATTACTCAGTGTGATCAGTCGACTATAAACTTCAAAGGTATCTATGATAGATTAAAATAAACATATGAATATCTTTTTATTTGAAAAAGGGCAGCGCGCAGTCACAAATTAACGCAAAACAAAATACCACTCAGTGCTGTACTCGTTTCTTGATATCTGACCAATATCACAAGTGACATAGGCTGACAAAAGCTATATAATCTTTTTTGTATTCAATTTGAGAATTTGTCGAGGATTACTACAATGTTACTATTGTTATTTCCAAAGTGGTCTATTCGACGAACCGCTGTTCGTTTTAAGCGGTACTGCCATCTATCGCAACATATTTTTTGGCAGTTATATATATAACGATAGATCGCTAACATTGTAAACAGACATCGAAGTTTTTAATGAGGTTGGATATTGGCAGTCATGGAATCTAGGAGGCACGTTTCGTTCCACTCTGGACTCGCCTGTATCTGTGTTGTCTGAATTTGGATTCGAGCTTACTACCTTCCTCTTCAAACATACATGTTTTATTTCCACTGAGCTAGTGAGCCCTGATAGTATCTAATTCGTGCAACTGGACAAAAAGTGAGTTCTGAATTCTACTGTTAGCTACTATTTGACTTTAGAAAAAACTTATAACTATATGGCGATACAGAGACAATGAAATCGGGACGTACGTACGCTAAAATAGATTAATAAATAAGAACAACCACACTTTCTACGCAACTGCCTGAATTTTGTGCTGATGACGTTGTACAGAAGGACATTGAAAATTTCACAATAAAATTACCGAATTCAAAGAAAGAAACTGCATCAAAACAACACACTAGAGTTACCATTCTCCACCATCTATCTCATAATCGCATTATTATTCATGAAAACATAATACAAATTAAATGTAGTTTGGAAATACGGAAAAAATAGTATAAATACAAGAAGTATTTAATGAAAAGCAACAGTTCCACTAACCAACAGATAATTCATCCAGAACTCTGTCTTGTAGTAAGATTAAACTATCCAGATCTAATTGTTCCGCCTGTTAAATGTGGGAAGAGGCGAGGGAGATTTTTCACGGCAGAAGGAAAGAAAGAAAGGAACGACTGTTAAAAGTAGAATCTGATATATATATATATATATGATAATGCAATAAAACTGTCACCTTCATAGAAATAAGATGTTAACAAAATATCATGACTATGTACTGTTATCAACTATTAATGATATGAACGAGAAGGTTCTCTGACAACTAATAAAGTTGAGCTTTAGACTAGTGTATTAGTGATTGCAAGTAATCGACAATCGGTACATGATGTCAAGTACAAATTGAACGGTTTTAAAGTTTATGTCACGGATCGACACAATACTCGGAGTTCTGGTCAGGATCCGTGATAGGTGGAGTTCAATTATGCGAGGAGTGAGGCAGTTATTCACTAATGACATAGGAAGATCAGGTCAGGTCAGGTCAGCTACAACGTAGGACCAGGCACATATATGCATCGGACCAAGTTGCCATACCTCGTTAGCACAACAAGAGGAACACCGGGTTCATAGTAGTTAATCTAGTGTTGGTAGTAGTATATAAATTATAGGTTGTATATAAGGATATAGTACAGGAAGGGAGATATGAAGCAATTTTAGTCTCGAGGTTTAAGGGAAGATAAAGAGTGTATACACCTACGCCATTGTGACCGATTCTGAGCCATGTCACCCAGAGTCTCCAACCATTGGTTACGATAGCCACGCGGACCCCAACCAGGTAGTCTGCATCTGCCAACATGGCTCAGGCTAGAAGTTAGTGACTTCAAACACTGATGCCATGTTTTGGTTTGGCCGCCCCTAACTCTCTTCCAACCGTCCCCAATACTAGTCATCATAGCGCGTCGTGGTAATCGGTGTTCAGGCATACGTAACACATGGCCCAACCATCTCAGTCGATGAAGATTCATCACCTCATCAACTGATTTACCATCGTTCCCTAATACCCTGCGTCTAACCTCACTATTACTTACCCGGTTATCCCAGCAGATGCGAGCAATATTTCTAAGGCATCTGTTGTCAAATACTAGTAACTTACGAGTATCTTCTACTCTTAATGGCCATGTTTCACAACCGTAAAGTAAAACAAAACGGACTGCTGCGCAGTATACTCGTCCCTTAATTGATAGACGGATATCTCGTCTACGCCATAGGTGACGTAAGTTGGCAAAAGCCAAACGAGCTTTTTGAATCCGTGCTGAGATTTCGTCTGACACCAACCCATTAGGGCTGATCAGACTTCCAAGATAAGTGAAGTTGTCGACGCGTTCGACTACTTCACTCCCTATCCTTAGTTCAGGTGTTGACGCAGGCCAGTCCTGGAGTAACAATTTACATTTGGATGGGGAGAAACGCATCCCAAACATCCTGGCATTATTACTCAGTTCTAACAGAAGACTCTGCATTTTGCCAGCGTCTTCACCAAACAGGACTATGTCATCTGCGTATTCTAAGTCGCTTAGTGGTCCCCCTGGTAAGAGATCAATTCCTGAAAATTCAGTCGATGAGAGTGTTATTTCCAGCAACAGGTCTATAATGAAGTTAAACAAAAATGGGGATAGTGGACAGCCTTGACGGACACCACTTGAGGTTGTAAAATCATATGACAGTTCGCCATAAGCTCTCACTCGATTAATAGTGTTCGAGTAAAGAGCCTTCAAAAGGTTTATGTACTTCTCAGGTACACCTTTCAATGACAGACACTGCCACAGAACCTCTCGGTCTACAGAGTCAAATGCTGCTTTCAAGTCAAGAAAAACTATCATTGTCGGACGCCGATAAGCGTGTCTGTGCTCTAAAACTTGACGAATGGTGAATATGTGGTCGATACAGCCACGACCAGGTCTGAAGCCAGCCTGATTTTCTCGTGTTTGCAGTTCACGAGTCTTAGTTAGGCGCCCGATAATTATTGAGGCTAGTATTTTAGATGCTATGTTAGTCAGACTAATCCCTCTATGGTTATCGCAGGATGATTTTGACCCCTTTTTATATATTGGGACAATCAGTGATTGTGACCAGTCGGATGGGATTACATCCGTCTCCCAGATTTTAGCCAGAATATTAGTCAACCTAATCGCTAAAATTGGACCACCGTATTTAAAAACCTCTGGAACCAATCCATCAGTACCAGCTGCTCTTCCCCGTTTCAGATTACCTATAGCCTTTTGAACTTCAAGTAGGGTCGGGGGGCCTACTTCAATGTTCCATTCAGGTTTTCTGGGAATAGTGGGTAGTTGTGCAGTAGCTGAAGGCCAGCTAAACTGCTCCTTAAAGTGTTCCGCCCATCGTTCTAAACGTTTAGGTTGAGAGCAGATAAGGGTTCCGTCTTTTTCCGAGATTGTCTCACTTACACTTGACTTCTTAATTCCGGTTTCTTTTATTAGTCTGAATAGTTGCCTGGTGTTCCCTACAGCCGCTGCCTTTTCCATCTCTTTTGCTTTCGTTGCCCACCACTGCTCACGATCGTTCCTTAGGCTTTTAGTTAACCTAGATCTAATTTGTTTACGCTCTTCGTCATGTTCAGAGCCTGATGGGATGAGTTTACGCGAATCCATCAGTGAAATAGACTTAGAGGAAATCCACTGGTTTTTTGGAGCCCTATGGTTTAAATGACTAATAGATGTTACTGCCGTTTCCACAGCTGTTCGTGTGTCTTTCCAAGCAGCATCTGGGTCAGTCTCGTTTACAGAACTGCCTAGATGTGAACTCAGTTGTTTCTGGAATTCGCATTTGGATTTCTCGTCCTCCAGTTCAATCCTAATGGGTCTTCTTAGTGTACTTTTCCTGCGTCCATTGAGGCGCAGACAAATGCGTGCTCGTATTAAAGCGTGATCAGAGTCTAAACAAGTATTCCAATACGAGCGACAATCTTCTATTGAGCCTCTCCAACGATGACTGATGACAATATGGTCTATTTGAGTCCATCGTTGGTTTGGTGCAGGTGGTCGCCATGTTAGACGATGTCTCTCCTTATGTTTAAAATTAGTGATTGCTAAAAATAAACGATTGTCTGAGCATAGTTGCAACAGACGATCAGCATTATCGGTTCGTTGAGCCGGAATACTAAAACACCCACCTAAATGTCTTTCTGTTTGATTTAAGCTGCCTACCTGGGCATTAAAGTCACCCGCTACGACTACTATGTCTGAGCGCTTAGCTTTCTGAAGAAGCTCAGAGAGTTTTCTGTAAAAGTCATCTTTTACTTCATCATGGCTGCAGTCGGTGGGAGCGTAGGCAGAAACGACGAAAAGGCAACGACGTGTGTCCCTATCCTTCCGAGTTCTTACGGAGCCATTCAGCCGGACAGCACACAGGCGACTGTTAACGGGGATCCATTCTAGTAGTGCCTGTTCTGCCCTTGTACTTAGTGCTATGCCTACACCTGCAAGTCCGCGAGAACTAGCCAACGGGTCGCCAGATACACGGAGGGTGTATTTCGTCGGCTGTCCATTTTGGCGAGGTGAGGTCAAGTGAATGACCACACTGGGATCCTGTATGCGTGTTTCGGAGACACAGCATACATCAATGGTACGAGATTCTAGGGTTTTAGCTAAGGAGGCCTGTTGACCGATTTGGCATAGGGTACGTACGTTGAAGGCTCTAATGTGTAGTTTGGAGCGAGGTTTAAGTAGACCTGGGACAGCGTTTCGCGCACTAGAATCGTTGGCCATGGTGATACTTGAGGAGGAAACTGGAACAGGAAGTTTAGTGTTGAAAGTCAAGGTAGGGGGAATAGTAGGAATTGAAGAAGAAGATTGATTATGAATACAGTGGTCTTGAGTGCTGTTAGAGGTATGAGGGCAGTTATCACTTCCCGGTTGCCCACACCGTGGAAGGATTCTTCTAGAGGTACCTGAAAAGGAAATTGGGTTAGGAGTGGTCTCAATGACCTGAGAGCGTGACCGCAGTGCCCAAGGGACAACTGCTTGAGGTCGGTCACACACGACCTTTTTGTGGGTAGTTTTTGTGTTAGCTCCGTTCTTCAAAAAAAAACCTTACCGCCGGAGACGGAAATCCGTGGGATAAGGCGAGGTGTGCATTTTTAGGGTCGACCTTTTCTAACCCCACCCCTCCTTGTGGGAAGGCAGCATCGCTGTCATGCTGGTTGTCTGAAGGAAACACCTTACTGCCGTCACACCTCTGTACAGTCAGCAGTACGACTTCGCCTTCGGACCTTGGGTTTGCTGCTTTTAGTCTCACCGCTCTTCAACCGACCTGTCTGGCATGGTAGGACCTCGAGGAACGACTGTTCCAGCCAGCATAGCTCGATTGCTTCATCACGATAGGCAAGCCCGACCACCACGTCAAGGTAGCAGCAACGATCGGGACATAGGAAGATGAGTATGTAATACTGGGAGTTGACTGAACTTGTGAATGCAAATCAATGAGTATTGATTCAGTAGTTTTAATTTTAGTGTTCATTACAAGACCTACAGTTTCCTGGGTATAATGCTTAGTGAATTGTCGATGAGCACTGCCAAAGTGATCTACACTGGGACAAGACGGTTGTCTAATGCTTTTTAATGGTTATCTAACTACGGTTAGTCGATGATGTAAACTATAAAAATCTTACATCCCTTTTGGTAAATAAGTTGAATAATATTTGATGGTAGGCAACAAAAAAGATAAAATTGAAATCAACAATAATGTGAGAGTGTTATCACGTTTTTGTTAACTGATAGATAGTGCTAACCATATAATGGAATATAAATACAAATAGATAAATACACTACATACTTCACTACCTGAGACCAAACTTTTTAAAAGTTTTCTTTTCTCTTGAAGAAGTAGTTGATCGGTTAAACTGTCTGGTTCTGAATTGTATATGTTTCGAAGGTGATCGATAAAATGTGCACGTTTCAATTTCATTGATTCCATAAAACGCTTGTATTGTAAATGATAGTTATGACAAAACACAATAAGAGGCAATTAATGGGGAGTAATATTATAAGAAAATAAATCTGATAATTTATAAAGAAGTTTTTTAAAAATAAATATCATTGTAGATCATCTGATGAATTAACTGCGGAAGCCATTATATTCTGATACTAACAGTCCTTAGAATAGTTGTTAGTTAACTAGTGATTACAATGAGTTACATGTCAATAAGGTTATCAGTATATTCTCAGTTCTATTCACAATTTAATATTTATCAAGAAACTATGTTGGTTGATACTGGAGCAGAAGTCAATCATCAGAACTGAATGTGTTGATAGTTTACAGATTAACAAGTGTTTATTACAGAAAATGACTTTTATTCCTGAAAAAATGTTTTTACGGACTGGAGAGGCTTAGGCTTTCAGATTTTTTTTAATGACCAACATTTAGGAAATGTATTTGATATATTGCAGGGACTTATGTAACACCAGAAAAAAGATAAAGTAGGACAACACTAAGTGTTGAAATACTACATACCATTGGGCTCTTAAGGTTACAACTAGCTCTGCAAAGATTAGATTATTTTCCGATGTTATAACGATACTGATTTGGTTTGGCCGCCCCCAACTTTCTTCTAACCGTCTCCAACACTAGTCAGCATTGCACGCCGTGCTAATCGGTGTTCAGGCATACGTAACACGTGACTCAGCCATCTCAGTCGATGAGGATTCACAACCTCATCAACTGATTTATCATCATTCCCAAATACCCTGCGTCTAACCTCACTATTAGTTACATAGGAGAGTTGGACATTGGTAGTTACCATACTGTAGTGATAAATTTTGTTATCATTAGTGTTAACCATATGAGATAATGGTAATTATGAAAAAAATAACAACAGAAGTAACCATGTAGATTGACAGCATATTCAAACATTATCAAGACATAATCATGAAAACTTTGCTATAGAGAAGAACACAACATACTTTGTGTAGTAAATCTTTCCATTCGTTTTCTTTATGTTGAAAATGTTTTGCATACAGTTCTTTGTGTTTATTCATTTTAGACCAGTGGGAATTATGTACCAAAAATTGTTGTCTACTTTTAAGTAATATGATTAGAGAATTTAAATTATTAGAAAAATTCTTTAACAACAATAGAAAAGTATATCAATCATGTATAAAGGATGAACAGAATTTAATTTAGCATTAACTTACTGCCGGGTGCAGATTCTAATATTTGGCTTCGAGTCAAACTTCAAATATGAAGGCTAGTGAGACTAGCCAGCTGAATAGACCAAAGACGGAGTTCGAACTGGAGACTTAATGGCTGAAGGTGGAATATCTTAGCTACTGTCCCACATTTATTTAATTTCAGATAAATAATGTCATCACTGGACTGAATGCAAATCAAAATAAAATCTTTCGATATGTTAATTCAAGTATTCGGAAATGGCAGGACAACAGAGGAAGAAGTTGATGGATACTGGTGTGGGACATGATTTTAAAGCTGGTGTGCTCTACGTGGTCAGTCAATTCAAGTATATTATTGTATGAGTCTTCGGTCAGAATTGAATAATTTAGCTGTTGACGTTTTGAACTCAAAGCACGGCATGGAGAAAAGCTTTGGAATATTGGGCTCATAGGAATTTAACTTGTCGGCTCAAGGTTATTGGTAGAGTCTAGGACGTCAGGTTATGAATGAAATAGGAGAAGCAAGATATGGGAAATTATAGTCGGGATTCCAATTGATGAATTTAACACGTGATAGCGATTAGCATCACAGGTTATAACAACTACGGATAGATAGATTATAATCATACATATGGGGGGTACAAGTTTCGGACAGAAATGGCAATTCAAAAAGTATATTTTATTATTGTCAGTTTAGCCAATGAAATTAATGACAAAGTAGGTTAATTTCATCTTAAAATCTGATTATCTTCACGTCACAAAGTTATTTATCATTTAACTAAGTGGATTCTGCAAGTTTTAGAACATTGACAAGAACGAACTCAGGAAATGGAGGCTAATACGTCATGGTAAGTCAGTTTCCAAAAGTCAATAATCTTAACATATTAAAGCTTCAGAAACTATTTATGTTACTACGAACAGAACTTCTTGGTATCGACTCCAGAAGGTAATGGAATTTTTATTATTCGGTTTAGAGATAACATGTTGGGTTTGAAGGTCATTTAAAAGGTGTTTATAAGTAAACGATACTGAGGGTAAAACAGCTAATAACATTAATCGACTCACGATTATCTAAAGGTTAAGCGCTTGCTGTAAGACCTGGAGGTTCTGGGTTCGCTCTCCTGCGGGATTGTAGATGTCCACTGGTATACGGGAACGAAGCAGTTATCTAGTGAGTCATAGATCCTATTGGTTGTCTTAGCTAAAGCTGGTTTGTGGTGCGAGCAATAAAATTCTACGATTATCAGGAACCCTTCAAGTTTACTAATAGCTAATTATTTGGTTTGGAGATTAGTATTTTCTGACCTTTTGAATTTACAATTTGGTTGACATTGCTCATCAATGGACAGAATTGGTAAAAATATAATACACTGATGGTCTTGAGCTAACTAATCAGAATTAAGATAACGCCTGAAATTTAAAGTACGATGATAGATAACTTGTGTGTTGTTATAAGTTAAGTAAAACGTAATGGCAATATTTGGTCCTTAAAATTAACAAAAATATCTATTGTGCAACCTAAAAGTGAACTCTATTATTATTTATTTAAACACATAAATATTGGTACAAGGAAGCACAAGATAAATATGCGCAGCACAAATCTCATTCGATTTGTGTGAGGGCTGTGATACTGCTCAGATGTCCAGACTGAAGCAGGCGGTTTTCTTAGGGGACCACACCCCGAGCCTTTGACCTCAAGATCTGATCCACAAGGCAGTGGAGCATCGTGAGGAGATGCAGTCCCATGGTAGCCAGTGACCAACAGTAGGTTCATACACCATTCGTTCCTTCAGGATACTGGAGCCCATGTGCACCATTGGTTTCGAATCAGAGTTTTCCAACTACCCTTGACGGACTCTCCGTGTCCACAGACCCGGTTGAAGCGCCGGACATTCGCTTTTCATCCTCTCAATTTCGTAAAAACACCCCCGCCACGAGAAAGCAGTGAGTAGAACTTCCCTGACAGAGGTTGACCATGTGAGAACATTTCGAGAGGGAGAGCGGACTCTCCCCACTCTCGGCCGTACCAGGGCATTTGGGGGCAAAAGTGAACTGAAGATGATGCTCAAGCTAATCTACGAAAAATGTATTTATTTCTAGGGTAGATTGTATGTGAAGATAATTTATATGGTTCGATGCGTAGTCAAGAGTGATTTGTGGTGATCGATAGTGTTCTCACCCACTAAGCCTTATTTTAACTACCAACTCTAAGTTTACTAGGTTTATAAAAGGTTACCTCATATCTGATGTTAGTTCGTGAAGAAAACCCCAACCCAAATTTTTAAACCAGTCTCAGAACTCCAACTAAACTCATAATACCTAACACTAACGATTTTGCATTATCGCTGTCAGTTAGTGACGAAAACTCTAAGGGGGGGATAACGCTAGCCCGAGTCCTAATTTGTATTTACATGTGAATACTTGACCTATTTACTTCACTAAAGGGGATAATTTGACATGTGAGGGTTCATTATTCAGATTAAACTTATTACTCCTCTGTTATTTTATTGCTTTGTATTGTTAATTGTTTTATAACTAATCAGTGTTTCTTCATTGAGTGAAAATTTGTCCAAAGTAGTCAGTATCACAGAATTATCACAGAATTTAGTTGCCGACGGATTTTAATTTAAACCAGTAGTAAGCCGTAAACTGAAATCCTAATCAGTCAATGTTTAGAAGTTAAAGTCATTGGTGTGGGATTTAGAATTTCATAGTTTAGGGAGATCTATATAGGAAACCAGAGTAATGTACTTACCCTTAAATTTTTTCCCCATTTCAACCAAAAATCTTATTTAGTGTTTTCAAAATAAACTGAAAACCAGTGATAGCTCTTTTTAATTATACTTTCTATTAGGTAATAACCGAAGTTACACAATACTGGTAAAATTATTCAAAAGTAGACTTTTACTTTATTAAACTGAGTTGTAAAGTGGAACTCTTGAAATAGTAATGAAAGTCTTAAATACACTTCTCTATTGGAAGGAAAGAAATCATCAATGAAACAATATTTCACAACTTAAATAAACTGTTTCATACACACATTCACTCATTCAATCATAAATACACGTGAAGGAAATTGAAGAGGAGCTGAACATGAGAACAGATATACACAGATAATACATTATATAATATAAACTCGGTGGAAAAGCATAATTCATATTACTGGAAGTAAAATTTATATTTACAAAATGTTAAGCTTTATACATTGGACTGATTTACATAAAAAAGTCAAGAAGGAAGATAGATAACACTACATGAACTAATGATTACATAAGTTGAGACTACAAATTTAACCGAATAGATCACCAACTGTTGGTAACGGATCTAAACCAAAATTTGTCATATCGGGTAGAAGATGCAGATCAGGAAGATTTAAAATATGTTTATTTAATTCACTTTTTAATGAGTGACCATGATCCAATTTCGATTTCAAGTCCTATGTAAGAATAATAAACAACAGTAAATGTTAAGTGATGTAGATAATAGGAACAGGGAACAAACTGATTAAACTATTTTGTAAACAAATAATCACTGAGTATTGAATAATATCACGCTTGTCTAAACATTTTATAGTAGTGCTGAAAGTCCATCGACCACGCTGTAATGTGGCTCAAGGTAGTGGGGGAAGAAACCTTGGACTCAAGCTTTTTACTCATTGGTATTTGTCATGGAGGCATACCTGCAATTTTAAGGGAACTAATGCTTCGTGTGAGATTCGAATCAATGTCTAAATTCTAGACACTTCTTACTAACGTGTATCGGCTAGCACGAAAGCTTGGTTGAGCGTTTTATACCGACTACCTCCTACCGCCTAAAATCGCAACATGTAGTGATCGATAATTTGTAGACACTATTGAGAATGGAAGTGAACGCGATTATTACTGGTTGGTTGTAATTTTTCAACACATTTCTTGCCTTACTATTCCTACTATTCATAAAGTGTATACAGTTGAAATTTCATTTGAATACTGTTGATAATATGATATAATGGATAAGAATAACGCCCGATAACCACGTCTTAATTTCATTGGAAAGTGAGCAACCGACAAAATTTTTATTTTTTTTCACAGTTGAAATCATGAGTCAATTGAAGCTAGACCACCATCGAAAACCTGGAAGCACTGGACGGCCGTTTCGTCCTATTATGGGACTCCTCAGCAGTGCGCATCCACGAACCCGCTCTCGCGAGCGAGATTCGAACCCAGGACCTACCAGTCTCGAGCCGAAGCCCTTAACCGATAGACCACTGAGCTGGCATCCAACGGTGTTAATGTCTAACTTCAACCAATCCACGATATTGAGCGACCGTTCACCAATTGTCTTCAGTGAGATGATATCTCTACAACAGACCTGGTAGAACTCCACTGGCCACTGCTTCCCACTAGAACTCAAGGAAATATCTCTTGAAGTCAATCACTAGTGAGCATATGATTATAGATCAGAGGGGGTTTTGTGGAGAATTTAGTATTTTCACAGTTGAAATCATGAGTCAATTGAAGCTAGACCACCATCGAAAACCTGGAAGCACTGGACGGCCGTTTCGTCCTATTATGGGACTCCTCAGCATTAGACATTAACACCGTTGGATGCCAGCTCAGTGGTCTATCGGTTAAGGGCTTCGGCTCGAGACTGGTAGGTCCTGGGTTCGAATCTCGCTCGCGAGAGCGGGTTCGTGGATGCGCACTGCTGAGGAGTCCCATAATAGGACGAAACGGCCGTCCAGTGCTTCCAGGTTTTCGATGGTGGTCTAGCTTCAATTGACTCATGATTTCAACTGTGAAAATACTAAATTCTCCACAAAACCCCCTCTGATCTATAATCATATGCTCACTAGTGATTGACTTCAAGAGATATTTCCTTGAGTTCTAGTGGGAAGCAGTGGCCAGTGGAGTTCTACCAGGTCTGTTGTAGAGATATCATCTCACTGAAGACAATTGGTGAACGGTCGCTCAATATCGTGGATTGGTTGAAGTTAGACATTAACACCGTTGGATGCCAGCTCAGTGGTCTATCGGTTAAGGGCTTCGGCTCGAGACTGGTAGGTCCTGGGTTCGAATCTCGCTCGCGAGAGCGGGTTCGTGGATGCGCACTGCTGAGGAGTCCCATAATAGGACGAAACGGCCGTCCAGTGCTTCCAGGTTTTCGATGGTGGTCTAGCTTCAATTGACTCATGATTTCAACTGTGAAAATTTTTATTCTCCAATCGCTTATGAAAATCTAATCATATTTATCTTTGTGTTAATATTTTCTACAAAGACATGTTGTTTACTAGATAAATAACCTACTTTTATAGTTAGTGGTTTAGTTTTTTAAGTTGAGTTTATTCGTGGGTTCACATCAACGATTTCATTGTTGTGAGGAGTTATCACTTGGTTAAATAAGATTATTGCATTCTATTTATTAATTGGTATTCTAAGCATTTCTTATAACAGTTTCTAAACCATTTATTTATCCATAAAATCCCTAATCCATAATGTTGGGTAACATGGCCTAAAATCAATCGCAGTTGTGCAGATCAATCCACTCTTTGCTTTTCCTCAAGTTCTAAGTTTCGGAATTATTTTAAACATTTTATTTCGCGAATTCATTTTTTCGCCTAATTTATTTTATATTACTGACATTATTATTACTACATCCACTTACATTGATAGTCATCTCGTTGTTCTGATGTGATGTAACAACTAGGACTGATGGCTAGATAATGTACCAGATTCTATATTGATTATGACCGACCGACTGAATAACTGATAGTCTATGACATATTTCACGAAGTTCATAACAGGGGTATGAGAGACAAAGCGGTAAGACCATAATTTATGGACGACCTTTGAGAGCAGCGCTAAAATAACCTTGGAATGTCCACCTACTTACTATGGTTAAATGAGAGTTAAATATTAGTGTGAGGAATTAGGATTAGGATTTACAATTGAACACTAGGGTTAGGAATTAGATTTACCGTTTTCATCACAAACTGATATCAGCTATAGTGCCAAAATGGTATTTAGCCAAATGAGTGGATGAATTTGGCGCCAAAATCCAAGGCGTGTTATTTTAAACCTGATTGGTTAGTCTCGCTGACTACACTAAGGCAATTAATTTGTAGCAAGAACACGAATACTAGTTATCGTAAATATATAGTTGCACAGATGTACTGAGAAACTGTATCATTTGACAAAAAGATGGAAAGTAAGTGAATTATTTACAAATCATCTATCAGAACATATTATAAGTCATTCTGACGTAATAAACGATAGTAATAAGCTACGTGACTGTCTAAGAGTTAATAAATAATTTGTCTATAATATTCAATTATATAACTGAGTTTAACTGATAGTATAGCCTAAAAATATATGTCACAAGAAAAGAAAAAGATTGTACGGTTATCCAGTGAATTATCACTTTGTATGGTTAAAACTAAGCGCTACATTAGAGTTCGAATCCTACTTCAACTGTTTCACTATAGACAATTCTGATTCAAATGAAAGTGTGGCTGTTCTAGGTCAAATGTACATAAACTATAGTACTTATTTTCAAAGTTAGTTAATAGAATTTGGTAAATCAACAAAAATAAGTCAGCTTAAAATAATCTTTTCTAAGAATAACAATAACAACAAAACACTTACATCAACTTCAATTTTAGCTTGTGAAATTCGTTCATTTAAATGACTATGAAAAGCACGTAGTTGAAGAGCTAATTGGTTACGTTTAGTTGTTTCTTCTTCTAACAATTGATTGTAGACATCTAGTCGAGAGGAACATTTACTGATAAGTTCTATTAACGCTTGTTGTTCTTGTTCAGTTGCTGATAAAAAGAAAGTGTAAATGAGGATAATAGGGAAAGTGTCTCAGAAGGTAATCGCCTATTTTAGTTGATCGAAAAGATATGTAGAGATTATTGAATTTTCTTAGTTTTGCATCATGAGCCGATCTTAGTTGGACAACGTTTGGCAACTAGGAAAGACTGAACAACTGTTTTGTCCTAATTTAGATGGACTCCTAAACAGTGTGCACTTACGACACCATCAGATATCGTTTTAAACATAACTTGAGATTAACGAACAAAATGGATGAGATATATTTACTTATTAATGTTTACAACATTATTGTGGGCCGACAATAGTAGATTGGATCAAGTCAGTTCACCAGTCATAGGCAATATAGAATCTGGCACATATGTGCATCGGTCCTAGTTGTCACACCTACAACAAAACAGAGAATTGAAATGATCAAGACGAATATCAATATAATATCAGTGGTAGACAAGGTGTAGACAAGGTTCGAGAAAAAATGAATTCACAAAGCATAAAGTAATTTTGAGACTTGATATCTAAAAGAAGAAATGAGTGCATCAGAACAATTGTGACCGATTATGTTCCATAACATCTAAAGTTGATTACTCACTGAGAAGTGACAAAATGCCATGTATGCCAATTCCTTCTCAGTGCTCATCGAATTCTGTCGAGTAAGTTGCAATGTGGTCACTAGTCTAAGTGACTTGACATCGCGTGTACCAGGTTGGGCAGTAAGGTCAACTACCTCCAACCACCACCTTAAAAGTTCTAAGCCATTAGTTACGATAATCACGAGGAGCTGGGGCAAGTAGTCTGAATCTACCAAAACAGACCAGTTTAACAGACAATGCCCTCACTCATTGATGTTATATCTTGGACTGGATGCTTCTAGCTCTCTTCGAACTTAGTCCAACACCAGCGGGCGTCGCGGGTTGAGGTAGGCGGTGGTTGGGCATAACGTAAACATGTCACAACCACCAAAGTCCATGAAGATTTATTATTTCGTTAACTGACTTGCCATCACTACCTACTATTCTGAGTCTAACCTCAGCATTGTTCACTCGGTGATCCCAATAAACACAAGTAATACTTCGAAGGTATCTATGTTTATTTATTTAGACACATAAATATTGGTACAAGGAAGCACAAGATAAATATGCGCAGCGCAAATCTCATCCGATTTGTGTGAAGGCTGTGATACTGCACAGGTGCCCAAATTGAAGCAGGTGGTTTTCTTAGGGGGCCACACCCCGAGCCTTTGACCTCAAGATCTGATCCACAAGGCAGTGGAGCATCGTGAGGAGATGCAATCCCATGGTATCCAGTGACCAACGATTGATTCATACGCCATTTGTTTCCTGAGGATACTGGAGCTCATGTGCACCATTGATTTGGAATCAGGGTTTTTCAACTCCCCTAGGTGGACTCTCCGTGTCCACAGACCCGGTTGAAGCGCCGGACATTCGCTTTTCGTCCTCTCAATTTCGTAAAAACACCCCCATCACGAGAAGGCAGTGAGTAGGACTTCCCTGGCAGAGGTTGTATACGCGTGACCATGTGAGAGCATTTCGAGAGGGAGAGCGGACTCTCCCCACTCTCGGCCGTACCAGGGCATTTGGGGGCTGATCAATCACTGTAACTATGACTGAATATTGGTCTGTATTAATTATTGAATAATGAGCCACATACATCTACAACAAAATACGAAGACAGACTTTTGAGCACATATTTAGTTTCAAGTAAGCTTACTTAGAAGAAACTATCAGAAAAACAAAAACTAGTGAACTGGTTGAGTAAATCTTTTAGCAATGAAAATAGGAAAATGTTAAAAGGCCAGACAGTTGCAAATGTTTTTGCCAAATGGATCTTACTATTCATACACCGTTGTTAATAATTTAAACAACTGAAATCAATTCATAGTAATTTAATTTCTTAGTCATCTAGAATTCATGATATAGTTGACATTCTCTATCAAATCAATGGGATAAGTCTAAAAACTCGAGACTTACAACTACACATATCTTTCACAACAGTCTACGTTACTACTATGAAGATAAGGTGACATATCTTAAGCAACCAAACAATCAATAGGCTTTTGAAATAAGCAATGGTATATATATATATAAATATATCTTCATACGGATGGAAAAAATCTTACATGACTTCATAATTTCCATTGCTTTATTAGGATCAGAAACTTCCGGAGGGAATTGTGCTATTTCACGGCGTGTAGCAGCATCAGCAGAAGCAGCTGATTGAAGAGTTTCTAAAAGTTGAATAAGCTCACTGACCTAAAGATAAAAAGAATTTAAAAAATATTTTTCTAATAATGAACATCACACTATAAGGTATTTTTACGTACAAAAAAAATAATAGGCCATAATACTAGATGTATCGGAATATGTGATCTGATGGGAGGCTTTCCCAGTTCGTTTTTCTATAACGCCTACGTGATTAATTCTAGCTTTTAAGTGGATTAATTCCAATATTCTTTCAAGTTATTCCACCACTCATATATACTTACTTTTACAAATTACTCAAATGCAACTTTGATCGATGTCTTTTTACACACGGATGCATGAGGGAAGTCCTATACATTGACTTCTTGTGGCAGGGTATTGTTTACAAGATGGAGAGGACGAAAAGAGAATGTCTGGGGCTTGAACCGGGTTGATGGGTACGGAGGATCCAATTACGGACAGTAAGAAAAGCCAGATTCCAAACCAATGTTTCACAAGGGCTTTAGGATCCTTGGGGAACAAATGGTGTATGAACCTATTTTTGGTCATCACAACTAAGGTTGCTCCACTGCTTTGTGGATTGGATTCCTAGGTCAAAGGATCGGGAGGTTGATACCTAAAGGAATCACCTGTTTCGGTTCGGGAACTCGGACGGTATCTTAACATGCACACAAATTGAGAGATGAGTACTTTGTGTGGAGTATATATATTTTGGTGTCCCTTTGTACCAATGTTTATTTCTAAATAAATAAATGATGGTATGAAGACGTCTATTCGCTCCCAAAAGTTCTTCTACATGAGAGAGAAAAACTGAGTCACCTTATTATTTGCCGAGTATGTGCGTTCCCGAACTCAAATGTTTCATATGCTTGTTGGATTTTTGATTTGCATCTCTAACACTTAATGTTAAGACATCTGGAGTGTATGTAACCTAAATACAGCCTGTATAAACATGGCTTGTCGACAGAAGTATATAAGATATCGCTACATCAGGATGAATATTAGGTAGAGGTGAACGTTTTGGACGGTCCGATCTGGAGTTACGGTTTGGATTTTCGTTGTATGCTCATTAAGTAATTACACTATTGTATTTTTATATTCCCCTACTAGTGAGCTTATGTTTTTTGCACAAACAGTCGTGTTTTACCTTTCCAAAGTTATTCTTACTTTATTATAAACCTGTCACTCAGTCCCATTCCACTTATTGCTTAGTCGGGCCCATATTATGATTTTCTAATTCTGTTGATGTGTTGTCAGGATTTCGCTTTATATTACTGTATAAATGGTTCAGAAAGTCGAACTGTATAGTCAGAAGATTTGATGAGTTGTTCTTTATTCTGACTAACGGGCGAGCGAACGTGTGAAACTATATTCTGGACCAATAATCATCTAGTGCTACTCTCGGCTGTTAGCTCATGTTTATCGTCTTATTAGATAGCCAAAGGTTAGTGATCCCAGATAGACAGTCTGGGAAAGCTAATCAATGCTCGGACTAGATCAATATCAGTATCAGATTTCGGGCACCCCACGTCACAACACAGATCATATTGTTGTACAATGACTATGACTGTTACTGAATACGTGAATATTTTATAACAAGTGATATGAATCTATGAATGTTTATGGAGATTTGCTTAGCGGTGTATAGATATTTTTAGCCGATAAAAGAATTATCCTACGCCATGAAGTTTATATGATATTTTATATGTGTGATTTCTGAATTGATACGTTTGTAAGAAGTAAGGACATTAAATCTGACACCCACAACTGGATATGACAAGGACTGTTAACTTGTTGGTTCAGAGACTCAACTAACTACTTAGTTTGAGCGTCCAAACTTTACATTACATAGTTAGATGTAGGGAGCCAGTTGATATCGTCAGTCCTAAGATGGTGTCGGTTTAAAACTAAGTACGCTAGTTGACGAGTTATCAAAACAACAACATACCTTCGGAGGTTCGGTAGCCTCAGTTTGTAGTTCAAGGTCTAATTCTTCACGGAATGCAGAAATTGAATTACGTGACATATTACCATCTCCATAATTTTCAGGGTCAAAGGATATTGGAACCGTTGAGACGTCTTTCGCAGTTGAAGAACGGCGTCGTTTACGATTCACTTTGTTATTGTCGATTAATTTGGGTGTATTAAGATTATTATTAGCAGCAGATGATTCTTTATTCCCTGATGAATTTGTCAAAACTGCTGTGAATGAGAAAGCGAATGGTGATGCAGCAATGATGTTACGTTTCTGTGCCAAAAATTACAAAGATGAATGATTATTATAGGAGATGAATTCACACTGTGTAGAAAGTGAGTTTTATATTTCACTGGTGAAAATCGATGAGCGTACATTGACAGATTCATAAGAATTTATGGAATAGTCAAACAGCAGAAGCCATTATTAAGAATATATGCATAATAATCTCTGTTAAAAAGCAACTACATAAAATCAAGAGTCAATGAAGTCGGATTGTTATGTATCAAGAACAAATCTGAATTGAATCTGGGCTCTACAAAAACGGGCTTGCATTTCTTGGCACAATTTTAAGGACCAGATGGTTTAAACGAAGACCACATAACTGATTGATCATACTGTTATTGGTATAATTTACATTATTTTCATTCCTTTGATGTGAAGTACGGCGACTTAAGCTAATGCATCATGATGGATATCCTAACGCTGTTTACAACTGTCTTTTTGAATCGGTAGAGAAAAGGCTGAACAATGACTAGTGGATTCTGATGATAATGGAATAGAATATTTTTGGGAGTGGGGACGTGTTGTTTGCTTCCAATTTTTGTGGATCAGGTTGAATGATAGCACTGAAATTAAATTTCAGTGATTTTAGGAATCATTACATTTTTCTAAGTAGGTAGAAAAGACTTTTTATATGGTGTAGTACAATTTCTGTTCCATTACAATTAAAATAGTTCCGATCCTAGGAAGAATCAACATATCTAACTATGTGTTACACATGCACTCATTGTTGAAAAACTATGTTTAAACTAGTGTACCATCAGACACAAACAGTGGATAATTCTTTACATTGCTACGTGGTCAGTAAAGCTCTAGCACGAATCTAGGTAAAATAACCCATTGTCTTAATAAAAATGAGAGTAATAAAATATCCACACGTCGAATAGAAGAACTAGGTTACGACAAGTTTCAATCTAGTGAGATTTATACCAACATGTGAGAGTGATAGTAAGAGATAGGTCCTATCAAGCGGAGCGTCGAATCAGTATAGAGATGTAGAGCGATTTTTGCAGCTATACTATACAAGTAATCAGACCAGGAGACATTATGGAACTTTCATCTCTGTAGGTGCTCAAGAGGTTTGGGATTTGTTGTAAGTTAAACATCCGTTAGACAAAGGCATTTGAACCTATTAAAGTCCAGAAGGTTTAGAGGTGTACCAATGACAAAACAGACGCATAAAATATATCACAAAAGGACAAGAGATAGTGTAATTGTTCACATAGGTAAATAACACTGACACAGATATTACTAAATTATGAGTATCCGCAAAATCAGACTACTCAAATGCGTACTCGATCATTAGTGAACCAACTAAAGGGAGTAAGGCGGGGTCTAACCATAAACGACGATTCACAAATTCGACTTTTTCCTAGATATGACTAAAAAGATCGATTTCTTTGACAGCCACGACCTTTACAAGACTGTGTTACACTGGGGTAACTTTTGGTCTTTGAGAAAAACAAGCCAAATGACAGACGTTATGATCGTATAACAGTAGTGGGGCTTTTTAGGGAGCTAACTAAAGACTTTGAATGAAATATTATCAAGTTCGAGAAGCATACATAAAAACGACATTTTGAACATCGCTGGTCCCAACAGCTGAATAGTTATCAAGCGCAACACAGAAAACGCACGGCTTACAATCAAGTGAATCAGGTTATGCTTGGGTACCTAACTACATCAAAACTATTCATTAACGGTGTAGAGTTCTAGCTAGTAAGTATTACAGTATAAAGGTAAATGTCATATCTGAAGTTGTAATGATCATAAGCAAGAACTAACCAAATATAATCTTAATGTGGGAAATAAAGTGAGGCAATTTTAGACTCACATTTAAACTTTTAAAACGTACACGGGTAGAAGTAAACGATTATATAGTCATATCTTTCACTTAGTAAGATGAACTTACAATCTCTTCACTAGCATCTGGCGTATCTGCTTCAGCGACCGCTCGTTGGCATATAAAACGTAACTGTCTGAGGAAACTCTTAGAATACACTCTACGAGTAGCCCATACGATTAGAAGATGAGCGACAGATGAACGCACTGAATGACGCTGGACTCTAAAATTAATTAATAATCAGATAAACAGAAAATCTACTCGTCTGATCAATGATACAAAAGAAAGTATACAATAGACCAAGCCACAGCTAATGGGCACAATAAAACGAATGTATAAAATAAACTAATACATAAATACAAGTCTAACTTATGTACAAATGATGAAGCAAACCTGTCGTACAAGTATTCGTTGTGTGGTAAGATCACTGAGTGACGGTTTTAAGTAACGTATGTAAACCATGATTAAACCAAATATGGTTAAGATGATATGGGTACTTTAGTACTGTGATATTGAGAGTAGTAAAAACGAAGCACTAGAGTTGTTAAACGTGAGTACATCGCTGTCTTACTTGGTTATCTGTTGTTAGTATGTTAGAAACCAGTAGCAGAAATCTGGATACCTTAAGCTTTACCAGAGAATTTGAATATTTTGTCATACAAACCCTACTTGCTTTTATGGTAGACTAGTTTAAAATTACTCATTATACGCATGGAAATTTAAAATAATACTGTTTGGGATTTAACGTTATTCCGGCTGGATAGTTACGAGGTAATTAGACTCAGGATAACTAGGTCGGACATGATGTACAAGAAAGTCTCACAATGTGATGCAAGGACAACCAACCGGAAGTATACAATCCCTTGCCTGAGCTCTATATTTATTCACTAACTGAATTTTTAATTCGTTTTATTTGTGCACAATTTATTCAGTTCGAGACAACAATTATAATTTAATGTCCATATCAGTCTGAAAAGCTATAGGGTCTCCCACGGTGGATATTCTTAGAAGAGTGGAAATAGAGCCAGTATTTGGCTGATGAGTCCGATTTCCACAATATTTCTCTGAAGCACCATACAGAGAAGCAGATGCCTTATTACCAGCCAGCTGCGTTTTTTCTGTTGTGATTGTTACATAGATATAAAATGCGCAAAATGATAAAATGGGATAAAAAATTTTTTGAATGTATCAAAACCAGGATAGGGAATTTAGACTTCTCAGTACACAGACCAGAATGAACAGTCTTACTTTGATGTTTCTTTGAACGCCGTAGGCAAAACTGGCTCGAACAACTTTTTGAACTGAGGAGCTGTAGCTATACCCCTTTGTATAACATCGTTAGCCAGATGCAGAAAAGCGATTTTCTTTTTGGGAGCAGCTTAGTAAAAGAATAATCTTACATAATTAATTACCTTTACGAAACTCTTTAAACCAGAGCTTGACCAAGTCTTTGGCTATTTGCTTGTTACTAAGAAACCACTGAGATGTAGTTTCTACCGAAATTTGAGAGTTATCCAGACCCTGTAACTTCTTAACTGCATCTGCCTCAGAGTAAGTCATTTCGTTGCGTTGCTGTCCAATGCAGCGCGCTAAGGGCTTAGCTCAACCCTTGTCCAATATCCAAAGCGCTCAAATGGTTTAAAACGAGGTGAAAGAAGCTCTCACCTACTGATATTCTATGTAACGCGGCAATTGGTTCAGTTTCCGTATAACTCACAGATGAAAAATGATCGATTCACATGGAGTCTCATCGTGATTCTTTGTAACGCCTCCAAAACTTTGGTCTTTCCTGTTGAGCTGGTCTGGAAATCGAGTCTATCATTTCGACTGTGATGTTGTAACCTCTTTTAATTAAGTTTTCAGGTAAGTCGAAGTTGAAGAGAATATCAAGTGAGTTCTGTAGGAGGTTCGAAGAAATTATCACTGGGTGAGAAAAGATGAAGTAGTGATAATAGGAAATGGGAGATACTGAGTTTGGTAGCGGTCAATAGTGCTTGTCTATTCAGTTGCTAGACTGCAGGGGAAATATCGTGTATATATGAACAGTTTTCAATGCTTGTATATAGGCTTGTAGACCATCAACGTTGATGTTCTCTGTTGAATGATTGGGATCCTATTCAAGTTAGACGTGAATAGTGTGACGAACCAGCTAACTTCAAGGTCACACCTCGAGGTCAGTATCTAACATGAATTACACTTCAATGTACCTAAGGGCGTGATTACCTAAATGTATTAGTAAGGATGAGTACAGAGATGTCATCGAGACCACCATCACATGGGCCAGTCCATGGCGTATGATTAACTGATGCGCGTTTGTTGTTCTTGACTTCGACAGAGATGGATGATTTTTTCGATATTCAGTGACCCAACTGCCGGATGATTTGGCTATGGCTCAGTGACATTTCACTATCCCTACAAGCTCATTGATAATGTCACTGTAGATTAAATGGTTGGGATATATAGTCTACTTATTTCATGGAAATATCCCTAAAGTTTTGATTTAGCTTTCACACAATGCTATTAAATTTCCGAGCTGATGAGTAAGCGTCGACTAACTACTTTTGAACATATTATTAGCATCTAAGTCAGTCGCCCACCACAAAGCAAGTTGATGTTTATTCTGAACTAACCAAAGTGAACTGTGAATTAGAAATGTCTCACTATTATTAACTCCTGTCTTGTTGTTCATTCTTTCTCGAATCTTACAAAACGTTCTTTGATGATGCTTCTCGCGGCACAGAACCCACCGGCACGTTGGAGTTAGCGCTTATTTGATCCGTTTCCAGTTGTCATCTATAGTAATTTCATCTCCTTGTAAGGCAACAAACCTGTTGCTGAGAGCTACTTTGTAATCTCTGACTTGATCATTATTTGTAATAAAAAATGCATTAAACCTCTAAATTGCCGTTTCTCCTAATATCCAGTACTTCTTTAGCTTTAGTTTCATCTTGGCAACCTCCAGGAGTTGATTTGATGCTTTAACAACCCCTTCTTCATCCTCATGTCTTCCATGGATTCGCTGAAAATTTTCGCGATACCAATATGATGTATCTGGTTCCCCGTAGTATGTTGAGGTGAAAGCCATGTAGCTTTGTGTATGCATTCGTTGGGGAATATTGCACTATCTATAACCATTTTGATGATGACAAACAAACTTGCAAACCTTTCATCATTTTCGTCTCTTTTTTCTTCCAGTCCATGTCGTCAAATGATATATTGACACTCGATGTCGTCCATTTCGAATTCGGCGTTCAGGCCTATCATCAGGATGATCCCGTGTTCACCCGGGTAGTTTTCGACGATAAACTTATGACCCTCATAAGACCTATTAGGATTGTCTTCGTTGTTATCATTGGTGGGTGCACTACAGTGAACAATATTCACAGGAATTCCCTTCCTCTTTGTTTGAAATGGTAAGTTAACGATCCTTAAGCCATAAGACTAACATACTATAAGTGATTCGCATGCCTTTTATGCTTACAGAGCTACTGATTTTGGGGGTTTATTTACCATTACAGATTTGTCCTTCCAGTCTAACACATTGTCAAGTCCCATAAAAATCGGCTTTGCCTGGTTAGCCATTGGTAGTAACGTATGGCTTTAATGTAAGTTAGGTCACACGATTCCTGTTTACTTCTAACAGACATCGCTAGGATTGATGGCGCATACGTTCTGGACAGCACCATGAACCTCTACATTGCAAACTTGGATGATCTCAGGTTGTCTTCACCTTAGTTTAGGATGTGGTGGACCTCAGCAAAAAAGCTTAGTTAAAATATAACAACACGCAAAGTTACCAACAATATACCAAGAGGGATTAACACTACAAACCTAAGCGTGTATCTGTGATTAACGCAAAAGGTAACAAATTACAGTTAAATTATAAAAAGGTATATTGAACAACAAAATGGTAACAGTGTTATGAAATGAATGTTACTTGTAAGCTGCTTTCTGAGATAACAACCACAAATAAGTTCACTTGGTTAACAAGGTTCCTCTGCACGTGATGGCACCAACAGTAAAATGAAGAAGATTAGATCCAGTAGTATTATTCAGTAATGATCCGGGCCAAAGCACCAACGTAGTGTGGAATGGCCTAAAAGGATGTTATAATACTATTATAATCTTCAATCAAAGGCCGTGGCCGTTAAAGCAGAATAGTAGACGGCGGATACAACGTTTATATGTTAAGAATCGCGGTAGTGAAGTCGTGTTATATATAACCAAACAAAAGTATTCGTTTCTTTTTCATTGATACAGAAAAACAATAGATATCGAATATGAGTGTGGTTACATAAAAAGTGTGACAAATAAAAAAAATATGTGATCTTTAATTTGTTGTTACAAAAAATCACTAGATATAAATGTCACTATAAGGAGGGGATAATAAATAGCAAGGTGCATCCTGGTACCTTCTTTTAGATTATCGTTAGATGTATATGATCATTTCTGAATGAAAGATAGCTGTCTTGGTCACAGTTTTTATTCACAACTTTAGATTAGCAAGTAATGGAGTTAAATCACGTGAGAATGTTACGTTTCGCAGTTTCCTGAAAACAAAAGTTGCTTGAACACTTTAACTACTATCTGATTTATATTTTTGCTACGTGACACGGTCTGATCTTGATGTTTGATCTCTTTGTGGTTGATAAGGTTGAAATTAATATGATTAATGGCAACTGGATTGTAAACTTTTTTCACTTGGCTACTTTATCCCATAAAAAACTTGTTAGTTAATTAACTGTGTACACCGTGACTCGTCATGCCGATCGATGACCACAGTTCAAGGTGGTTTAACGAAAGTGTAGAATTATGGTCTGGGCTGGTGGTAAGACACTTATCTTTGGTGCTAAACTGATGAGCTCATTTCACGAATGTGGGCTTGTCTTGGCGTGATTAACTGATCTGTAAAATCTTATGTGGAAGTCACATCATTATCTATGCCGACTCATTCTGTCATGACAGTCAGTAATTTTATGTTCAGCACTTCTAAAGAACACATTTAGGTTGGGTATAATAATAATATATTCTGAAAATAATATTTACAGAATTCACACCAGTTTACAGGCGTGATCACTTTGATATAAATAGCAACATTTAATGTAGAGAACAAGCATGAAATACAAGATTGTTTTATGTTTGCTGGTTCAGTAATTCATAAGTAGTTTATATATGGCATATATCATGGCAAGCCAATGCAACACCAGGGAGCTTTTAATTTTTTTTAAGTGGATGGCCTGATGATTTATGAACGTATTTCTTCAAGGTTATTTCCAGTGCCAGAGCGAGTTATTGATGAATATCTACAACTAGAGAAAGTAAGATTGAAGCAAAGAGCACTGAACAACAAAATAATGATTGTCAAAAAATAACGGTCAGGTTTGCCACTGTTCTTATTAGATATTATTCAAACGTGTTAGAGTTGCTAATGACAGTGTTAATGTAAAGTGACAACAAGTAAGTGGTTAAACATTTAAAGTTCCTATAATCTCACTTGTGGAGTAATATACAGTTACAGGCGCTAGAGCATTTAATGCATTTTCAGAGGAGCAGTATGCATTATTGGAGCGAAAAAATAATGGGAGAGAGTTTAACGTACGGATAGTTTGTGTTACACTATTTCAGAGTCTTGAAAACGTACAGGTAAAGTAATTCATATAGAGAGAAGATCTGGAATATGTTTGTTTCGCTAGTGACAAGCAGTTACGAATATCGTAATGTGAAGCTTCAGCATATTGAATCGCCTGGTTGGATGTGAAGGATAGTTTGTTAAGTATTTTGAAAAAGAAGATAATATTAAGTTTGAGTCTCCTCTTCCATAAAGGGTCAAGCCCTAGTTTGCTACACCTAGAATTATATGTCAAGGCACAATCAGTTCCAAGAGTACGAAGTGTAAATCATCTCTGTACTGATTCCAACCCTAATTTATCATTTATACGCGTGCTACTGATAATAAACGCGCAGTATTCGAGGAGTGGTCGAACACAAACTTTGTACATTAGAATACGGGATTCGTTGTTAGGATGGCTCTGAGTTATGTAACCTATATATAGGACCTATATAGAATAATATATTTGGTACAAAAAAGAATAAGCTACACAGTGACCACGTGTGCGTGGTTAAGCAATGACATACCGATTAGGCTCTACCGCATTCAGTATTTTCGGTTTTCTTTCCGCGTTAAATGTTGAATGTTAGTCTTCTCAGTTATTTTATGCTCGTCTTTGAGGATCATTTGGTTAAGAACCAATTACGTAAAGATTATTTAAGTGTTAGACATAATAAGATCGTGATCGTGCAGAATAATTTTGTATAAAGATTTTTTAACAGGGCACATTTAAATGTATAACAGTAACTGATGATGACAGTGTATGGAATTTACTTTTAATACATCCAAAATTCTATTATATTACTTGGTAATCCTATTCAGATGCATATTCAACGTCATAGGGGTAAGCATTTATTTAACGATAATTCTCTGTACCAGTATTAAAAATCATCATATATAATGTCAGCGTGAATCTGTTTCTCATACCGAAGGGTCACAAAGGACAAATGTG